CTGCTTTAAGATTTCTTAAATGAAAGAGAAATGGCTGAAATCCGTGCTAGAGATATGACGTCAGATAACCAGGGCTTTTTTTTTTTCTGGGGGAATGTGCCGGAACAGAGTTCTGGAACCTCTTTGACAAAATTCTTTTGAAAATCTTTCAAAGTTTCATGAGTTTTCAGTATACAGATTTTTTTAAACCCCCAAGGGGGTAATTTTATTATGTTTCATACGACTACTGAACTACAACGAAAAATATAGGAAGGGACTACAACTAGGGATAAAGGATACCCAAACATACTAAAAACCCAAGAGAAGGAGCTCATTTCCGTGTTAAGCTAAATGTCCATAATAAAAGTGTTAGTCACACAATATACTTGTAGAGTTCTTGTTTTACACTTCTATGTTAGTAAGTTAGTTTTTATGAGAGTACTTCTTGAGCATCTTCTTTGCTTCAAAGGGCGGTTTACAGAGTCCTTCTGCCCTTACTTCAGTTTTCTGTCCCTAAAGTCATATACAGTTTTCACTGCTCCTGCTCCCGCTTCGCCCACAGAGCCCTCATCCATTCCAGAAGTAGCAGAGTCACTTGATTTAGTTTCTTCATCTTTAAGGTCTTTCTCTGATCCCAGCTGACATCTCAAAAACTCCTTAGCTTTAAAAATGGAGTCAATTTTCTCTCTTTTATCATTGATTTTTAAAATAACACCTTCAGGAATCGCCCACCGATACTGAATTCCATTGGTTTGAAGAAATGAGATGAGCTCCTTGTAGCATTTCCTCTTTTGACGTATCTCAAATGGAATATCTTTTAGAGTTCTGATGATTATATTCCCAGATTTCAGTGGATTTGCCGAAGTTGCCTTTAATATTGCATCTCTGGTCTGTCTTCTTGCAAATCTAACCACAATCTCTCCAGGCAGGCTATTTTTCTTTATATAATTGGAGTATGCCCTATAGGCAGCTTCCATATCTTTTATTATCTCCTCCGCTGATAAGACTGTTACTGGAGCAATAATCTCACCCAGAGTCTTCTTCAAATCTTCTTTTTCAATTTCAGGCACTCCCTGAAATCTAAGAGTCATATTAGCGTTTTCCATTTGAAGCTGTAACAAACGAGTTTCCTGAAGTTTTTGTGTTGTTTCCACATCTGTCACTCTTTTCTTCACTTTCTTATTTGCGGTGTCCATTTCTGTAATTTTTTCAGTAGCTTGCTCCACTTTCTTCTCTGTTTCTGCCAGCTGGCGCTGCTGTTGAGCAAAGTTTTGATTTAATGTAGCCAGTTGCTGGTTAATACCACTGAGTTGCTCCATTACCGGCTTCAGCATATCCGCTAACAACTTCATGACGTCTGCTCCCTCTTCCGGTCTTGGACTCTGGCTGCCTAGTTTCGGTTTAAACTTTCCTCGGGAAGCCGCCATGTTCCCTCTTTGTTTACAATTTCAAACCGCTTTGTCAGGGCTCGAAAGACTCGTCTTTTCGCTATCGGTACTCAAGTAAGTCTCTCAATATAGTCTCGCTGTTTGTTTCCCCCCAACCCCCTTCACTGCA